GAAATTTCGTGCCAAATCTTTCTAACGTCGGGAAAATTTTTGATAATTGAAATTGAAAAATTTATCAAGAAATTCCGAAAAAGGAATTTTGCAATTTTGATTTCCACTATTTTTTCACGACGTTAGAGAGATTTGTCATAAAATTCCAGCTATTTCAATGCCCAGGAGCATGATTATACTCATTTTGAAGCTCTCAATGAGCTAGAAACGATGAGAGAGCTGGAAATGAGAAATTTTGGGATCTGAAAGAAAAAAAGCATTTTCAGACCAACGACGACATGATTCTGAACAGCGCCCTCCGCTGGTCAGAATCCCTCCCACTTCCATCCCAGACCTCCGTCCTTCAAAAAGAGGCAACAACAATGTCGCTGACGTCTTCTGAATCCGCGGTATTCCTGAGGAATTGCGTTCTGATCACCGGCGATCGTGGTCTTACGATCAAAGCCATTGGCAACAATCTACCGTGTCGAGGAATCGCGAATTTCGTTAAATGGATGCGTTGCTAATTTCATTTTCTCTGCGTCTCCATCTTTTGTATAGTCCCTTTGTTGTTAATTTTTATTTTTGTGTCTCTCTTTGTTTTTCTTAAAATGCATTTCCACAAAAACTATCAATTTATTATATCTCATCAGCCAAACAAAACGAATAAAACAATTTTTGAGTTTTAATTTTTTTTGGAAGTTAAAAAAACTGGGAAAAAAAATTTAAAAACAGCAAAAATAAAAATAATTCGCTGCCAAAAGCGGAAGTTGCGAATTTCAAAAAAAGGGAGTGTCTGACTTCTCTGCGTCTCTCTCCCTCTCGCTTCAAAAAAAAGTTTTCTGTCTTATCACATGTTTTTTGATGCCCGATACCCCCTATTTTTTTCATTTCACTGATCACTTTTTATTCTATTTTTGACAAAAACTGATCTCTCGGAATTTCTATTTTAGGCCAGAAAAATCGGAAAAATTCGAAAAAAGTTTTCCTTCAATTTTTTTTTTGCCAAAATTTTTAGTTTTTCGATTTTTATATCAATTTACATCCGAAAATTCAGTTTTATCTCCAAAATTTAGGTCGAAAACCAAAAAAAAATCATTTAATTTTTTTTGAAAAATTTTTTCTAAGGAAAAATTTCGATTTCGACATCAATTGATTGCAAATGTTATCTTTCTTGAACCCCAAAATGTTTATTTTATCTCCAAAGTTAGGTTGGAAGTCCAAAAAAAATGTTTTTTTTTCAATTTTTCGGAAAAATTCGATTTTCAACGATTTTCCACCAATTTTTCCAGGATTTTCCACTTAAAAAGTGCATTCTTTTAGATTTTTATCAATTTTTCGACGATTTTTCACTCTTAAAACCTGAAATTTCGTCGATTCTAGGCCCAGATTAGATAGGCATCGGCCCAGATTTTCGGCAGGAAAACGAAACACCGAATTCGACGCGCAAATGGTGCACACCCACGTAATGCACACAGTGCATTACACTCTACGCGCATTCTATGGCAGCTTTTTGGGAGCTTTTTCCAGCTCTTTGTTTATCGATTTTCAGAGGTTTTCGAGGAAATTTTGGGTGGAAGTATTCTTAAAATCACTGTTAACCACTTTTTGTGCTAGAAAAGTTATTTTAAAAGCCGAAAATTTTCAAAAAATTAGGTATTTTTCTCAAAATTTTAGATTAAAAAAAACTTTTTTTTCGATCTTCAAGCCAAAAATTTCAAAAAAATTCGCTGAAAACTTATTTTTTAACATTAGAAAATGCAGTTTTTCAATTTTTTCTCCAAAAATTCCGAATTTTCAGACCATGCGGCTCTCACTGGCGCCTCTTCTTCTTCTGGCACTGTTTATTCATCAATCAGTTGCCGATAATGATATAGGGGTAATTGAGTCTTGAATTTTCAAAAAAAAAATTTTAAAAATTTCCAGAAAGATGTAGACACTGTGGATGTGAAGATGGATGATGCAGCCGTAGTGGAGACCATTGGAGAGGAGGCGAAATCAGAGAAGAAGGTACCTGAAATTTGAATTTCCCGCCTGAAAAATCCTCAAAAAATCCGTATTTCCAGAAAATCTCCTCCCAAGACATCTCATTCTATCACGGATTCCTTGCCTCGTTCTCAGTGATTGTTGTGTCTGAACTCGGTGATAAGACCTGGTTTATCGCTGTGATTATGTCAATGCGGCACTCTCGTCTTACTGTATTCTCCGGTGCCATGGGTGCGTTGGCACTGATGACAGTGTTATCAGCGTGTCTAGGATGGGTAAGGATTTTATTGAAAAATTGCCGAAAAATCCCAAAAAATAGGCTTTAAATGGCTGGAAATCTGCCCAAAAGCCTTCTAAAACCCCATATTTTGGATTGAAATAGGTCTAAATCGTCTAATGTAGCTTTCAATGACTGAAAATCGATCCAAAAACGTTCTGAAACTTCAGATTTAGGCTTAAAATTCCCCAAAACACTCGAAAAATAAGTCAAAAATCGCCTAAAATTGCTTTGACCTATCTTTAAGTGACTGAAAATCTGTCTAAATGCGCTCTAAAACCATAGATTCAGGCTTGAAATAAGTCAAAACTCGACTAAACTTGCTCTAAGTTGGCTTAAAATACGCCAAAACCCTAAAAAATAAGCTAAAAATCGTCTAAACTCGCTTTAAATAGCTGAAAAATTAGTCTAAAAGCCTTCTAAAATCCCAGATTTAGGTTTGAAATAGGTCTAAATCCTCAAAAAGTAAATCAAAAATCGCCTAAACTTGCAATTTAATTGGGCTTTAAATGGCTGGAAATAGGTCTAAAACCCCAGATTCAGTCTTAAAATACGCCTAAACTGGCTCTTTTTCCAGGTAACCCAAGTAATCCCCCGTGCCGTCACCTACTACCTCTCCACGGCTCTTTTCGCCCTATTCGGTCTCAAAATGCTCCATGAAGGATGGACAATGTCCCCCAACGAAGGGCAGGAGGGATTCGAAGAGGCGCAAGCAGAAGTGGCAAAACGAGAAGGAGAACTAGACGCTAGCAAATTCGAAATGCTCGAAGGAGGAGGTGTAGCCCCTCAGTGAGTAATTAGCCCTTAATTCCCATCTAATTATCTTGCGAACTGTTCAGATCGGAAACCAAAAAGATCTTCCTATTCACTTCTCGAATTTTCATCGAAGCCTTCACCCTTACGTTTGTCGCCGAGTGGGGAGATCGATCTCAGTTAACTACGATTATTCTTGGAGCTAGAGAGAATATCGCCGGTGTGATTGGCGGAGGAGTACTTGGACACGCGCTATGCACTGGTATTGCAGTGATTGGAGGAAAGATTGTCGCCCAGAGAATATCAGTAAGAACTGGTAAGTTTAAGGACCCAAAAACCTAAAAAAATAGCTCGAAATAGCCTTAACATAGCTAGAAAAGGTTCTAAAAAATTCCATTAAAACCTAGAAAAGCTCCCAAAAACCTCAAAAATAGCACCCAAAATCAAAAAAAAAATTGCTCTGAAATGGCTAGAATAGCTCCCAAAAACGTCGATAAGACCCACGAAAAGCTGAAAAATAGCTCTCAAAACCATATAATTACAGTAACCCTGATCGGAGGAGTCGTCTTCCTGCTCTTCGCCCTCTCCGCCCTCTTCATCAACGACATTGAATCGGCCGTTGACTCGTAAGGCGCTATTAGCCTACAGTAACCCAATTACTACAATGTCATAATTAAACCCCCACTATTTTCTTGATGTTAACGATTCTCATGTCCGGTCCTTCTATCCCTTATTTCTCTCTATTTTTGTGCTTTTTTCAGTTTAATTTTCACTTTTTTAAAGTTCAAATCTCCCCTAAAATTCAGAAGCCTTCTCCAAAATTCCACTGAAATTGGCAATTCGACGATTTTCGCAGCAAATTTCACAGAAAAATTTCAAAATCAAAGTCTCATCGAAGCGTCAATACAGACGGAAATTTGAGCATTATTTTTCACCACTTTTCTCTTGGTTAGCACGGGTTGCCGACCCCCCATTTTGTATTCCCGGATAATTTACTTTAATTGTTTAGCAGCAATATTTTTTTGATTTTCAGTTTTCCAGAGAAGATTTTCTCCCCCAAAATGTGATGTTTTATTTAAATTTTTCGCTTCTTTCCCCTTTTTTCATGTCAAACTACGCAAATTTTATGTGCCTCCTCAATAAATTTGAAAATAAAAACCCAATTTTAAAGGAATTTCGCTGTTTTTCGGCCGAAAACTTGGATTTTCAGCGATTTTGTTGATTTTTCTCGATTAAAAAAATTGTTTTTCTAAATTTTCCGAGTTTTCAGACTATTTTTTGGCTGAAAATCGATGAAAATTCTCTGAAAATCGACGGAAAACGCCGCCGCTCTTGGATGTCATACTGTAATCGTGACGAGACCCGGGCAGTTACAGCTATGTTCCTTTAAACTGTGCCGATTTACGAGATCTCATTTCTTGTTTTTTTTTGTTTTTTAGCTAAAAATCTTCAATTTCCAGCGATTTTATTGATTTTTCTCGAATCAAAAAAATAAAAAACGTAAATTTTCAGAATTTTCAGACTATTTTTTGGCAAAAAGTCAATAAAAATTGGCTGAAAATCGATGAAAAATTTAGTTTTTCAGCCAAAAACCTATAAAAAATTTTTTAAACTTAATTTTCAGAAATTTTAGCCTATTTTCGGCAAAAAATCCGTAAAAATTCGCTGAAAGTCGATGAAAAATGTCGTCGCATTCGTCTGTCATACTGTAATCGTGGCGAGGCCCGCTCAGTTCGACTCATGCTCCTTTAAAGTGTGTCGATTTACGAGAACCGAAAATTTTGTTTTCTTCAGTTTTTCAGCCAAAAAACTTCAATTTTCAGCGATTTTATTGATTTTTTCTGGCTTACATCATCAAAAATAAAATGTCGAGTCAAGAAGGATCTTCTGGTTAGTGAATGAACTCGGAAAAATCGATAAAAAATGGCGAATTTTTCAGAAAATACAGAAAATAGCGATCCAGGCGAAAATCAGTGCGCAGAGAAGCCAAAGGTACGGAAAATAGTGGATTTTTGGGAGTTTTAACAGTTTTGATAAAGTTTTAGGCCCAAAAATCCTCGAAGAACTTTCAAGTTACTCCAGCGGCCGTGCATGCGCCGGTAAGTGATTTTTAGCGGTTTTTAGGCCAAAATTTGGAATATTTCGAGAAAAATAGCCCCTAAAATTCAAATTTTAGGCCGAAAATCTAATTTTTCCAGGCTAAATCCGCTGGCTCCGCCCCCTTCCGCTCATTTGATCTGAAACAGTTATCGTCTGAAATGAAGCGAATGGCGGATGGTGGAAAGCTGTTTAATATGATGAGAGAGGTCGATCGAATGGGCGGAATGCGTGGATTGATGAGACGTCGTGGCCGAGGAGGAGGTGCTGGTGGCCGTGGAAGAGGAAACCAACCGACGGCCGCGTCGCCAGATGAGCCATCCACCAGCTCTGGATAATTTTATTTGTCTTTTTTGTTTTTAATTTTGTTAAATTTATTAAATTGTTCATCTTTTTTTTTTAATTTCTGAAATTAAAAAAAAAATGTTTATCAGAAACAATTTTTCGAGGCATTGCGAAATGTCGGATTTTTAAAATAAAATTATTTTTTCTAGTGCAGAAATTTCTCTAATTTCCCCTAGTTATCCTTACAAGTCTTCAAATTGGAAAGTTTTCACTAGAAAACTTTGAAAAAACCCGCGAAAATTTCATATTTTCAAATTCCGAGGCTGTGCAAGTGCGCTCCATCGAACTTCCCCATATAACTCGGCTCCCAGGCACCCCTGGAACCTCTAGTTTTTTGTAAAGTACTGCACATTTTTTTATATTTTCTTACAGATTTTGAATTTTGAATTTTTAAATTAAAAAAAAAATTCTAATTTAATTTTTAAAATTTTCACGCAATTTTGAACATTAAATTTTCATGTTTGACCCAAAAATTTGGTCCCAAAAAACTCTGAAAATCCACAAGAATCCAGCGAACTCGGTCATCCAAAAATTTCGAAATTCTCGAATTTTTATCTGAAATTTGAAATTCAAAATTTTGAAAAAAACAAGAAAAAAGAAATTATTGGAAAAATGATTAATGTTGAGAACTTTGGGGATTTTTGGAAAATTGGAATTTTTCAGTTTTTAGATTTTTTGCATTCATATTCATTATTCTCATCGTTTTCAGATAATTTAGAGCTTCAAAATGAGTATAAACACGATTAGGCTCCGCCCTCTTTGGGTTCCACCACGAAAACTACAGTAACCCTTACATTTTCGCGGCTTGGGACCCATTTTGAGCGATATGGGGCATGTTTATACTCATTTTGAAGCTCTCAATAAGCTGAAAACAATGAAAATGCTGAAAAATAATAAATTTCAGAAAAGACAAAGTCGGAAGATTGGAATAAGACAGAATAGAGAACTTAATTTTTCTGATTTAAAAATGAATAAATTGGTTTTAGTTTTTTATTTATTTACGATTTCAAGAATCGTGAGAAAAAAGGAAAACCATAGGGAGAATAAGAAATGGGAGGGAGTAGTTTGATGATTGACCAAGTAAAATGATATTACCGTAAAACCTCTTATAGAACGACACCCGGATCGTCCACTTTGAGCCTATATATCTCAC